CTGAGCTTGGGGACTCACTTGGTCTCCCCTCCGTGGTGAGAAATCCTCACTCTCCCAAAGAGTCAGTATAACGTCTCCCTCAACTAATGTTACAGGCTGGCCCACACTGGCAGAGCGAGGTCTCTCCTGTGCTCCTGAGCGCCAGGAGAGCTCTGGGCTGGGATCCCTAGCTCTTCACCAACCTTCTCATCTTCACTTTCCCGATTTACTCTGGTTAGATAAAGCCAGCCTAGTTTTGATAAATGACCTTTTTGTAAATTGCTCATCAGCGGCCGGTCACACTCTGCTTGCTGTGTGTATCACTCCTGTCTTGCCAGCTTTGTCCCTTTCAGTCTGAGCCTCTGACTCAAAATAACTGAGATGTTGGTGCCCTCTAAAGGACACATTGATTGTAAAAGTTAGCTCTACTAACTAACATTTTGTTGGGTTTAAGTTTGGGGTTTCTTGTTCTCTTTTTTAAGTTGATCAGTAATTCCTCAAAAGAAATGGACAGGCCAAGGTGGTTAATGCAATAAGCACAAGCTCTAGGGGTCAGAGCAGAAAAATAGTGTTCTGCTTGTCCTCTAAGCACTTGAAATTTGTAGATAAACGAGTTTATGAATAAAGAGTATACAAATTACTTACTTTCTGCTTTAATTATAGAATGAGGTAGAGGGAAGTAAGAAAAGCCAGTGTTCTGACAGCTATTTTTTTTTTTAATTTTTCATTTTATTTTAGTTTTATTTTTCCCCCCAAAGCCCCAGTAGATAGTTGTATGTCATAGCTGCACATCTTTCTAGTTGCCGTATGTGGGATGCGGCCTCAGCATAGCCGGAGAAGCGGTGCGTCAGTGAGCGCCCGGGATCCGAACCCCGGGCCGCCATTAGCAGAGCGCACACACTTAACCGCTACGCCACGGGCCGGCCCCTGACAGCTATTAATTCATAAGAATTTCAGTCCTTTCTAGAGCATGATTTTTCTGTGCAGGACAAAATTTTAGCTGTTTGTCAATCTAATTCCCTACAACACAAATAGAAACATCTGGATTTTTGTTTTTGTTTTCGTTGCTAGGAAGAGGAAAACTTGTCCAAAACTCGGGTTCATTTGATGAATATTAGCTGGAATCAAATCAAGAGAATATTTGACTTAATAGAGAGTGTTTTGATTTGAAAATAGGATTTCTTTTTCCTGAAATAGATATCAAGTAAATAATTTATTCACATAATATTTCTGTTTTCATTCCTTGACACTGCCATTATTTCAGGGGCGTGCTTGTAAAGTTTAAAGAGGACTATGGAATCCGTCACACATGGAGAGTCTGGCTCATACTTAGCCCACAGCCTGGTCTACTGAGCCAGCGCAGAGCTCTTCTGGCCCCCTGTCTTCTATGGGAATGTGCATCAGCTGAACAACCTCATTTAGGCAAAGTCATCTTTTTAGGAGCTAAGCGTCAACTTTGAGAGAGAGGAGCAAGTGTTAATAGGGCCACTCTAGCCCAGTGTAAGAACTAGTTGCAAAAACTGTAGAAGCCACTCCTCATCTCTGAGGGTTACGTGTTCAGAAAACCCCCGTAGTAGGAGATTTTGCAGTTCCAAAGCAAAATTTCAGTGGAGAAGTAGAGAGGAAGAACCAAAGGTGCAGTGAACACGTGAAAACTTGCTTAAATATTAAGTTCACCAAAATAAAAAAATAACGTCTAAAATGAAGATAACACCAGTAATATTTTATGCATCTTGCACAATTGGGCACTGTGCAGATACTTTCCATCTTCTATGGGATACATGGGATAATTTCTTGGAGACGTGGGATAATTTCTAATCCTCAGGTGGAACAAGCTCTGGGGGATCTATTTTAATCTACCTAGCAGACCTGAGCCATTTAGTTCTCAAGCCCCAAAGTCGAAGAGTTATGTGGCTTTAGCTCTGCCTATGGCAGATCCCCACCAGAGCACTCCCTGGTGGGCAGCTCCTGCCCTGTTAACACAGCTGAGATACAGACTGATGACAGTTTACCTTGCCTCGGCTGTCTTCACGTCTCCCATAGCTGCACTGCGGAAAACCTCTACTCCTTCTCTGCTAACCACTCTGACCCTCTTTTTAATTCCCAAACTCTGCTCCTGTTCCCTTTTTCTCATTATCTCCAAGAAAAATGACTATCAATTTGAATATACTCATGTGGAAATTGTTTGAAGTTGCAGAAAAATATATGGAGGGGGCCGGTCCCGTGGTTTAGCGGTTAAGTGCGTGCGCTCCGCTGCTGGCGGATCCCGGGCGCGCACTGTCGCACCACTTCTCCGGCCATGCTGAGGCCGCGTCCCACATACAGCAGCAATAAGGATGTGCAACTGTGACGTACAGCTATCTACTGGGGCTTTGGGGGAAAAAAAACAAAGGAGGAGGATTGGCAATAGATGTTATCTCAGAGCTGGTCTTCCTCAGCAAAAAGAGGAGGATTAGCATGGATGTTAGCTCAGGGCTGATCTTCCTCACACACACAAAATATATATATATATATGGAGAGAAGTCAATCTGCCTACACTTACGTTTTCCTAAGAGGAGTTTGCATTTGGCTGTGTTGTCCACATGTAAATACTGTGACGTAGGCCTTGAAATCCGAAGAGCCTGTTCTCATGCCCCTCAGAGGAGTCTGGGTAATGTACTTAGAAGAGGCTTTGTTAGCATAGGGAGGTAGAGGTGATAAATGAGACCTTGTTTGTGCCTGAGCATTAGCTCCGTGGGCCTCTCTGTACTCTGTGTTCCTATTGTCCGCTCAGCAGTACAAGGATGGTTGAGGGCCCCATGCTGCAGAGGTGCCATGCTCCAGCTTCATGTATAAAAGGCTGGGCCTTGGAGGGAGGTGACTAAGATGTGACTTTTCTTCCCTCACTCACTCAGCCGTAACCATGCACCCCTGTGGGTGAGGATTTTGGGGTCTGGCTGCCTGCTCCTCCTTCTGCCCCATTCTGTCTGCCTCGTTTCCTCACTGCACTGACTTCCTTCCGTATCCTTTAGATAATCTCATTTGATTTCTCCAAGTGGTGTTCGTGTCACAATATTGGCATTTATGAAAACAATGGACATAAAAACACAACACGTCCTGCTTATTATCCTCTCTGGCCTCTGATAAACCCCACCCCATCTGTCTTCTCGCACCCTACCTCTTAATCGCCGTGTGAGAGTTAGCCCTATAGCTTATCAACTCAGGATACCTTTGACTTCCGGTTTCCTGACTCATGCTCTTCAAGGCCATAGCCATAACTTAGCTCTCATCCAGGTAGCCTGCTTACTAGTCTATTTTCCAACCTCAGCCCCTTTCCACAGGAAATGCAGTCAACTGCAGCATTTCTTAATTTTTCTCTCGATAGATAAAAAAAGAACTTATTCCATCCACCTCACAATTCTCAACTTCATAAATTCCCAACAGGCTTCTTTTCTCCCAAAGCCCCTCTTTTGCTGAGCAATGAACCAGGAGTCCTCTCCTCCCCAGATGCTCACACACATAGCATTCATCCCAGCTCTCTCTCCTCCTCCCTCCTCTGTGCCGCTTGCACACGGTCCAACAAACCCACCCCACCATTTATCCTGAAGAGAATTATTATCCTTCTATTCTTTATCCTTTCAATTATTAAATTATTTAAATTGTCCATTTATTCTTCCAATGCCATAGGCTAACTTCTAAGCAGACTTAAGAGAACATATTCTCAGGGGCTGGCCTGGTGGCAGAGTGGTTAAGTTGCGCACTCCGCTTCGCGGGCCCGGGGTTCGCAGGCCCGGATCCTGGCCGCTTGTCCAGCCATGCTGTGGCGGCGTCCCATATAAAGTAGAGGAAGATGGGCACGGATGTTAGCCCAGGGCCAATCTTCCTCAGCAAAAAGAGGAGGACTGGCAACAGGTGTTAGCTCAGGGCTAATCTTCCCCACAAAAAAAAAGAGATAGAGAGAACATCTTCTCAACAAAGTGAATCTCTCTCTACAGAAGAATTCTCTACCACTGTCCTAAGAAGGTAATATTCTCCTCACATGTGCAGGCCCTTATGACTTCTTCAGCTAGAATTTTATACCATTTCATAACTCTCAGAGCTTCATCATGCCCAAATTAGATTGGGATGTGGGGGCAAGAAGCAGCTCCTAAAGGAGGAAATGAGTAGGGAGGGAAGAGACAGAGGAGCTGCCTCCTTCCCAGTTCCTCTGAGAGCTCTCCTCAGGCATGGTGTGGGGGATGGAGGGCAGAACAGTGGAGGAGGAGCCAGGAAGTTCAAGAAGGCTGGGTTATTGGCAAGGTCCCAGCGTTGCCACATCCAGGACTATCTAATGGCTCTATACCCTGGGAGAACTCTGTGACCCTGGAGACCTTGATCAGTCATGACGGAATGCAGAGCCCCAAGATAGCTGCTGGCCCCACCACAGAGAGCCTTCTAGACCCAGCCCAGCTAGCCAAGCCCAGGGCCAGAAGTGCCCAAAGATATCCTTCAAGCCCACAATGATACCCAGTGGAGGCGCCAGGCCTGATTAGAGATCTGGGGTAATGGGTGGTACCAGGCAGATCTGCTGCTTCCAAACTAAAGAAGTAAGACTTCAGCAATTCCAGCAACTTCCGACCCTGAGGCTCACTCCTGCAGGGGCAGCACTGTCTGGAGTGGGTCTGGGTGGTACCTGGGAGGCTGGAGGCTCTCAGGACTCCGCAACTGTGGAGGGTCCAGCTTCTTAACAGCCTTGCAGCTCTGACCCCAGTAGGGGGTAGTATTTTGGTGACTTGGAGTTAGAGAAGAAAGGGAAATGAGGAATGACTGTGTGTGTGTTTTCTATCTTTGATGGTGTTTACACAGGTACTCAGTAGGTAGAACTATTTCAACTAGAGAAGGATGTTCTTATAACAGAAGTGCTTCTTCAACCTGAATGCTAGAAATCGTGCATTGCATTTAGATCAACATGCATTTGCTAAGAGAGCCCCTGTTAGTCAAAATCATCACCATGAGCCCTCCCAACCCTTAAAAATGGACTCTAAGGTTTCTTTTCTCTTCAGGTCATCAAGTACGTTCCACGTCATGAAACACGATCACTACGTTGCCCGATTCGGCAGCAAACTCGGGTTGCAGTGCGTGGGCATGCATGAGAATGGCATCATATTTAACAGTAACACAGCCCTCTGGAAAGCTGTTCGACCTTTCTTTTTAAAAGGTAATTATTCTGCTCTTTTGTCTACAAATGTGCCTTATTTTGCAATCATTTTCCAATTCTGCTGCTTTATGGTTTTGAAATAATAATAAGAGCTAACGTTTACTATATAGTAGGCACTGTTCTAAGCACTTGATCGTTTAATCCTGCAGCAACATTTTACAGATGGGAAAACTGAAGCACAAAGAGGTTAAGTAGCATGCCCAAGCTTCCAACATTAGCAAATGGTGGTCCAGGAGACAATGCCCGAGCCTACATTTTCAACCACCACAAATTCTGTTCTTCCCGTTGATACACAAAGCAATTTCATGGATGTGAAGCAGAGATGAAGCTCTCTGCTTAGGGTCACATCAATTAAGAATTTAGCGTGTCGGCCATTTGTTGGATTAAGCATAGGCAAACAATGTGTTTGCAGAATCATTGATGGACATCACAGACATTTTAACAGAAAGCAATTTGTGAATAAAATGAGAGAATTTTAGAACTGGGAAGGACTGTATATATCATCTTGTCCAGCCGCTGAGTTATGTAGTTGAGGAAGTACAGTCCTAGACAAGCTGTGAATTTTGCCCAGGCAACATAGCGAGTAATGGATGAGCAGAGACCCGATCCCAGGCCTCTTTGTCTAGTGATTTCTCCCTTTGCTGTATTATGCTGGAAATGAAGCTGTCAGGGAATATGCATTAACATCAAGGAAGATAATCAAGCCCTGGAAACGTTGTCAGTGAGGGAATCTGGGGCTAGATGGATTTTAGGTCCTACCACACGCCATCAATATCCTTCCCTCCAGCCAGCTTCTGTGGTGAACCTAGATGCCTCCTGTGTGGCTGCTGAGACAGGGAAAAGCTATGCCTGTCCCAGCTGAGTGGTGATCCCCCTCCACAGAGTTACCATCACCAAAACTCAGCACAACTCCATTGTAGACTCCATCGTATTAGTTTCCTATTGCTGCTTAACAAATTGCCATGAACTTAGGGGCTTAAAACAAACACATTAATTATTTTACAGTTCTGTAGGTTAGAAGTCTGACATGGGTCTCAATGGGCTAAAATCAAGGTGTTGGCAGGACTGTGTTTCTTTCTGGAGGCTCCAGGGGAGAATCCGCTACCTTGCCTTTTCCAGCCTCGGAGACCACCCACATTCCTTGGCCTGTGGCGTTTTCCACTGCCTTCAGAGCCAGCAACAGTGGGTTGAGTCCTTTTCACATCACACGTCTCTGACCATCCTTCTGTCATCACATCTCTTTCTGACTCTGATCTCAGCTGCGAGAAGTTCTTGGCTTTTAAGAACTCATGTGATTAGGTTGGGTCCCCCCAGATAATCCACAACAATCTCCCCATCTCAAGGTCCTTAACTTTAATCATATGTGCCAAGTCCCTTTTTCTGTGTAAAGTAATATATTCATAGGTTCCCTGATCCCATATTCAGGGATTAGGACCCAGACACCTTTAGGGGCCTATTATTCTGCCTACCACTCATGTTGAGGCAGATCAATCCTCTATGCCTTACAAAATTGCAGAATGGATTAATGGAAAGAGGACAGGACTCAGGATTATAGGTTGTGAGTTTGAGCCCCACTCTGTCACTTCACTACTATATGACCTTGGACAAGTCACTCAGCCTCGCTGAGCATCAGTTTCCTGATCCACAAAAGGTGATAAACACAATAGAACTTGAATTCTAGGGATATTGTAAAGAATAAATGAAAGAATGCTGTCAGATCCTATACACATTTAAGTTTAATTGTACTTTGTCATTTGGCCCAGATGTATTAGGAGTGTGTGAACTAGTATTTTGGAGCAGTTAACCTTCATATACCAATATCCTCTACCTTGACATGCAAGAATTAATAGAATCTCTAAACTCGTCCATTTGTTTAATAAACTACTGTGTTCTCATCATTAAACTAGGTGCCTGGAATACAATGATAAACAAGACACGATCCCTGCCCTTGAGGAATTTATAATGTGGGGGGGTGAGCAGAGTGGCAGATCAACACATCACCAAATACCATCCTGAGTGATGTGTTATGCTAGAGGTGTGTGCAGAGTGCTACAGAGCACAGACAAATGGGCCACCTAAAACAGACTGAGGGGTCAGGGCAGGCTTTTCAGAGGAGTGCATGCTTATGATGAGTTTTGAAAGAAAGTAAAAGCTATCCAAATTAAGAAAGTGTGACAAGGACACATTCCACAGGAGAAAAGAACAGGATACTCTAAGGCAGAGAGGGATAGATAGCACTACATGTCCAGGAAACTGGAAGTAGGCCCTTGTGTCTGACACAGACAAGTGCAGGCATGAGGCCAAGGGGAAGGCAGGGCCAGCCACCAAAGACTCCTGCACTAAGCCAAGGAGCTGAGCTAATCTCAAAAGCTATGGGAAATCATTCAAGGTTTGAAGCAGAATGTCATAAACGTATTTGTGTTTTAGAAAAACTGCTCTGGTAGCAGAGTGAACAATTAACTGGAAGGAAGCATGGCTGTGAGTAGTGAGAACTCACTGCTCCTGCAGTGATACAGGGAAGGCACCAACAGAAGAGATGTTAAAAGAGTAGAATCTACAGTACTTGGAAATTAATCAAAAAATCTTTGTGACTTTTTTTAGATTAGCTCTATATGTGGAAGATCAGATTTTCTAATAAAGGCATTACAAAACCGAACCCAAATTAAATGCCAAAAATAGAGGGCCAATGGCTTATGGAAAGTTGACTGTTGTGTCTGACATTTTTAATAATCCATGAGAGTCCTAAGCATTTTTTGACAGACCTTTTAGAGTTATGCTCCTTATTAGATTTACTGATATAGTAGAAAGTTTGGGCAGGTTTTGGTATCTAACGTAGTAATGTTAATGAAGGTATTGACTCCTTGGGTGTGTCTGTGGAGAAATAGTTAAGTGCAGCTTGGGTAATGGCCCCATCCTGGGAGGATGAAGAAGTGGGGGTGGGGGAGGGGGTGAGAAAAAGCTTGTGTTTCCTGAAACTGCAAAGAGAGTTGTCTATAGTAATGGAATTTGCTGACTCCTTGCTCTATTTTTTTTCAACCTGGATAAAATTCAGTACTTTTTAGCACATTTTAGAAAATAAAATCGTATCTATATCATACCACATAAGCATATCACACCACAATACCATATAAGCAATGATATTACATTTTGCTTATATGTTTGAAATGTGGTTTCAGAGTTTTGGATAAAAGGCAAATCATACATCAGCCTGAGAGAAAACCACCAGCGATATTCAAAGCCAACCCTCTATGCAAAGTGTTGAGTCATTAAGGAATCATTTGTCCCACTTGTGGATGTGATAGTCACCCAGGGAACAATATACTGGCCTTTCCCATCTGCCAAGTCCTTCCTATAGTCAGAAAGTATGCTACCAACCCAACCTTCCTTTTTATGTATTAGGAGAAATCTTAGAGTCTAGAACCACTCAGCAGGCCTCCTTTCTTATTTGCAAAGTCTGCCTTCAGGGGGTTCTGCAATGCAACTGAATTTTTTTTTTAAAGAGAGAATTATGCCTATAAAGTTCCCCAGGATTTTTCTTTGCATTTCAAGGACTCTGGCTTTAACAGCAAGTCTGAATATAAAAGACATTATAAAGAGAGATTACTCCTAAAGAAAGTTTAAAGAAACTTAAAACAAAGAGAGAAAGGGAGACTTGGAGTTAAACTTTCAAGATAGATCACCCACTATCAGGACCCACTAGTTGCTCAGAGGGTCAAGAGCAGGGCAAAGGGTGAGATCAGAGCCAGTTCACCCTACCTACTTTCATTCATTCGTTCATCCATCCGTCCATCCACTCATTCATTCCTCTATTTGACAAATATGTTTTGAGGGCCACTATGTACTGTGGACTCAAAGTACAATCTAATAGAAGGTCGTCACTGCCCCTAAAGAATTCTCAGTCCAGTGGGAAAGACTGCTAAGCAAACAAAGAATTGATTAGCTGTTATGGCATTGGTTGAGTAGGATAAATCTGGAAGTAGTTTGAAGAGAAACCAAAATTAAGAGAAGGGCACTTTTGGTATTATAAGACTAACATTTTAAACATATAAATTACAATGAAACAGGAAGCACCTTAGATCAAATAGTTAAGGTCCAATTTGACTAGTTCTTAAGCAATATCCTGCTCCCTCTTGAAACAGAAAATAAATATCACCCTAGCTAAATCCAAATCTTTTAAAGAGGAAAATATATACAATAAATATGAAAAACCACTGATTTGTGGTTTATGACCCCAGGTACTAAATGTTTCATTTGCAGTCTCACAAATGATTTGCATGAAGAAAAGTTTAATTTTGAATAGTTTGTTTAAAATAAGATTTATTTATTTATCCATCCATCCATTCATTCATTTTTAACCTAAAGGTGATACATGCTTGTAGAAAATTAGGAGAATAAAGAAAGTTTTAAAAAGAATATAAAGGGGCCGGCCCGGTGGTGTAGTGGTTAAGTTCGTGCACTCCGCTTCTGCAGCCCGGGGTTCAAAGGTTTGGATCCCGGGCACGGATGTGTGCACTGCTTATCAAGCCATGCTGTGGCAGGCATCCCACATATAAAGTGGAGGAAGATGAGCATGGATGTTAGCCCAGGGCTAATCTTCCTAATGAAAAAGAAAAGAATATAAAAATTTCCACCCAGTTATTGAATAAAAAACTGTGGGCAATTAAGCTCCAAACATAAGAAGCCAAAATTGCCTGATGGTTTGTGCATGCCCTGGAGTTCGTGGTGGCTCACTCTCTGATGTGTCCCTTCAGCTTTGAGCGGCCCTGGCCTTGCATGCATGGTGACAGTTTGTGTTGAGGCCATGACGAGACATCTGGACAGGTTGGAGGAGGTCACCAATGAGTTGGGCTATGTCGATGTGTTGACCCTCATGCGACGTATCATGCTGGACGCCTCCAACTCACTCTTCCTGAGGATCCCCTTGGACGGTACTGAAATTTTCATTCTCGTGACTTGACATTCTGCCCTTTATTGAACAAGGGGATGAGAAGGAGAACAGACTCAAGTAAAGATACACTGTTTGGTACATTGCTCTTGTTTAAATATTTCTAAACATTCCTAAGATTTTTTTTTCCTGGTGTGTCTGCCTTGTTCACTTTTAAGATATAAATTTCTGTAAAGTAGGGGCCATCTTCTGTTTCTTTTGTATCTCTCCTCATCGCTCTATGAAATAGGATTCTACCCACAGTCAAAACTTAACAACTGTGATTGGTTCATGCCACCAATCAAACCAATATATTTAACCATTTCCAACCATTCTTTTGGGCATGATGTATAGATATACAGCTTAGAACCCCAGACTGGTGGGAGAATCTACAGGGGACCTTTTCTGCTCAGAGTACCCTTCTTGAGCTCACATTTTCCTCAACTGCTCTGCTCTTTTTTTGTTTTTACAGAAAAAAACCTCGTGGTTAAAATCCAGGGTTATTTTGATGCGTGGCAGGCTCTCCTTCTCAAACCAGACATCTTCTTTAAGATTTCTTGGCTGTACAGAAAGTATGAAAAGTCTGTGTAAGTAATACAAGTTCAGGAAATTTATCAGTGAGACTGGATTGGTTTTTGGTTGTGTCTTTGCTATTGTTGGCCTCTTCTGCGAGCTTTCTGCTCTCCAGAGCCCACAAGGGAGCTGTTGATTAAGTTGTGATGAAACACTTCTTACAGCACTTTGGCTGCATGTGGCCAGACCAAAGAGTAAAGGAAGACTTTGGCCCAGGCAGCTTCTCAGCAAGGGGGCCAAGTGGGTGGTCTGAGAGCTCCATCTCTGGAACTAGGGCACTGCAATATATTTTGAGTTGAAGAGAAGGGTTGGCTTAACCTATCATTATTATCTGTGAAATTCTCTTTGCATGTCTGGGGAAATGGAAACACAGAATCATTTTATAGTTCTGTTGCTTCAGAATGAATTTAACATAATTCAACTTGTAGGCATTGACAGCAGGCTCAAAAGAATGTTTTCATAATGAACTTCAATAAAATGTGTGATTTTTTTCTTTAGTTATATATCTTGTGTCTCTGGGGGATCCTGAAACCATCATTAAATGGCTTTGCGTTGGTCTCAGATTAGTCTAGCAGAAAACTGGACAAATGCCCAATGACCTATAAGCTAATCAATGGGTTTTTAGAGTGTAAGTAGCCGACCACTAAACACTACCACCTCCCATGGGATCTAGGGGCAGACAGACCTGGTTTGTATCCTGTCTCTACCAGTTAGTAACTAAATGGTCTTGGGAAGTTATTTAAAGTAAAATATAACCTACCTTCCGGAGTGGGGATAAAGTTAATGAGATCCTATATGTAGGGCAATTAGCACAGAGCAGGGTGCTAAATGTGTTAGCTTTCGTGTCCCTCTGTTCATATCTTCCCCAGATGTCTCTCACCATCTTAAATTCTCCATCTCTAAAAGTTCCCAAACTTGTTTGAAGACCCACCTTTATCCTATTTGTGTATTTTGAAATTCAATAATATTAGTCTTCAGGGAGGAAGCCAACTTACTGTTGTTTTATATATTCTCATGTGGTTGATGAGTATTAGGTGGATGACTTGGACACTTGGTTCCTTATATATTTCATTTAGTTTCCACCAGAGCTTATTGTGACTTGAATCAGTGAGATAAAGGATTTACTTCTTCACTGTGGTCAGATTTGGTGGTGGTCTGAAGAGTCTCATTGTATAGTTCTTGGCCATTAGTTTAGCTTTGGTCTCCACCAACTGGCCCATAGAAACTTATTGCATGAGACTATATAATGATTTCTCTTACATTTCTGCAGAAATTAGCTCAGCAACATTCCCTCTCTATATTTGCCAACGGTTAGAACACTAGTTTGTATCTCCTATATCGTAGAGCAGTAAAGACCTAGAGAAATCTTTTAATCTCCTTCCTTCCTGTGCCCTTGCAATAATGCCAATACTTTTTTTTATTGAGGTATAATTGACATATAACATTATATTAGTTTCAAGTGTACAACATAATGATTCAATATTTGTATATACTGCAAAATGAATGCCACAATAAGTGTAGTTAACATCCATCACCATACATAATTACAAATTATTTTTTCTTGTGATGAGAACTCTTAAGATCTACTCTCTTGGCAATTTTCAAATATGCAATACAGTATTATTAACTATAGTCACCATGCTGTACATTACATCCCCAGGACTTATTTATTTTATAACTGGAAGTTTGTACCTTTTGACTCCTTTCACCCGTTTCCCCCACCTCCCACCTCTCCCCTCTGGCAATCCCCAATCTGTTCTCTGTATCTATGAGCTCAGGGGTATTTTTGTTTGTTTAAAGATTTCAAATATAAATGAGATCCTATGGTATTTGTCTTTCTCTATCATGCCAATACTCTCTAAAAATATATTTATAGGGGTCAGCCCCATGGCCTAGTGGTTAAGTTTGGCATGCTCTGCTTCAGCAGCCTGGGTTCAGTTCCCAGGCACGGCCCTACACCACTCATCTGTCAGTGGTCATGCTGTGATGGTGGCTCACATACAAAAAAAGGAAGATTGGTAATAGATGTTAGGGCAAATCTTCCTCAGGGAAAAAAAAAAAAATATATATATATATATATATATATATTTCTTCTCCATATATGTATATATGGAGAAGATTCTGGGACATCTACTCCTATCCCTATTTATTCAATTTTATGTTTTTGCCTCTTTTAATTCCCAATATTACAGCAGTGTTGTTTTCCGCTTTTTCTTATGACAAGTGTAACTCTTTTCAGCCACAGAATATCTTAAATAGGTGTTTGTGGTGTAGACTGGTAACCTAGCCACCATTGTTTTGGTGCAAAATATATTCAAAGTTCCAAACAACAATTTCACAGATGCATTATGGTAATGCATGTTTGTAAGTTAGAAACTTCCTATTCCCTGAAAACCATCATTGAACTCAATTCTCCCAGTTTTTAAGGGAATATAAATTCAGATGTATACATTTATGTAGGACCAACTTTAACCCGAATAGGAGGAATCCCAATGGGCACTCACAGACCCCTGATTCTGGCCCAGGGAGGAAGTAGGTACTCAGAAGTGGCTATAGTTCCATCAGGGAATTCTCTATGAATTCAGAGTGTAGGCGCAATTCAATACCTCCCTGACCATTTAGGGGCTGTTGCTCAGGTAGGAATGCTATGAGCATTCTCAGCCCACCAACTGAGTGAATATCTGTTCCTTCTGTGTAGGAGATACTCAACAAATATTTGCTGAACAAATGGATGGGTAGATGAATGAATGCATGTGAATATATCCCTGGTGTATATCTGGAGGTGTGTGTGTGTCTATAGGCACACTTACAGAGTTACACAATAGATGGCATCCTCATTTGGAATGACACAATTACTATACTATGCTGAAGAATATCTCTCAACATGTTTAAACATTTTCCTTGAGATGCCCAAAAGAAACTTTTAAAAAATGGCAGAAATATTAAAGAATCTTGCCTTACTTTTCCTGCTGAGCTGGAGTAAACATAGAGCTATTTATGTCAACAGCATCAACAGGGTATTTAAGTGTGTAGGTGACCATGTCAACAAGAATTTGAAAGACAGATTTCTTGTACATTTAATGTAATACAGAGTATTGTTCCCTGAGATTGGGGAACAATGCACTTACACATGAATGCATACACTTAAAGACAAAGGCAAGAATAACAGAATTTAGATCTCAAGGTGGCCTTCTTGTTCATCTAGTCTGATCCTTTCAGTTTAAAAGAGACGTAAGACGCAGAGACTTAAAGTAGGTTACGTTAGAAAGAGAACAACCCAAACTAGAGCCTGACCTTCTGTCCAGGGTGCCGTCCCTCCACCACGCTGTCAAAATGCATATACATATTTATGCAGCCAGGCACTCACTCAACAAATATTCACGTAGTGTTTACTGTGTGGCAGAAACTGCAAGGTTCAGGAAAAAATATCAAGAATAATACTCAGTCACTTGAGTTGACTTTGTAGAACAGGAATCTCAAACTCAGTAGTCTTCAGGGCTGGGAAAATCAAAGTGAGCTGGGTAGATCTAAGACAACAGGAAATGGAGGTGTCTGTGGCAGACTGAGGAGCGCACACCCCCACTAAAGGCATTCACTGGTTTTGGTTTTATAATTTAAACACTGTGCTGGCCAAATCAAAAATCAGAAAATGTGATTGGATTTAGCCTTATGGTACCAGTGTTTAACCCTTAAGTGGAGGTTGCAGCCTTGATTTTGCTACCAGTACCTAGAAATCTTAGCTAACCGGTTCCTTAACATAAAGTATAATATGTATGCAATTTAAGGATATTAGTGAAGAATTAAGTATAAATTCAGTTATTCATAAGCACTAATGGCTTCAATGAAAGCAGATCGTTTTATTTAAACAAATGGCAAATGAATCCATTTTTCTAGATGTCTTAACTCAGTACAAATAGATTCTATTTACCTTCTTTTTTTTTCCAGCAAGGATTTGAAAGATTCTCTGGAAGTTCTGATAGAAGAAAAAAGATACAGGATTTCTACAGCAGAGAAACTGGAAGACCATATGGATTTTGCCACTGAGCTGATTTTGGCCGAGGTACTGACCTAAACTAACCATAATTCCCCACATAACATATGTGCATGGGTGTGTAAAGATTCCCTCTTGTAATTCGTGCATATTTCTGCTTTTAAGTATTTTCTCCAGTACTTCTATAATGCCCAAACCAAGTAGCCCACTCATTAGACATTCTGGTAAAACTGACCTTTAAGATTAAAACTACTCTATGACTGCACAATACAAAATATGAAAATGGACGAGTCCAAAGACATTAAATACACAGATAATTGGTTAAACTGTTCAGCTCTCAGCTGAAGATTGTTATGAAAAATGTCCATAGTCAATTACAGAGACACATAATTTCTATGATTTCATTTTGTTGAGGTTGTTGATCCTTGAGTGTCACCTCTCCTCCTTTTTTGAAACTATGATTCACTTTTCCAATTTTTCTCCCCTCTTTTGATTGTCCAGAAACGTGGCGACCTGACAAGAGAGAATGTGAACCAGTGCATATTGGAAATGCTGATCGCAGCGCCAGACACCATGTCTGTCTCTGTCTTCTTCATGCTATTTCTCGTTGCCCAGCACCCTAAGGTTGAAGAGGCACTCATGAAGGAAATCCAGACTGTTGTTGGTAGGAATTTATCAAACAAATAATAGAGCTTAGAAAACCATTTCTTCTGAAGGTCACCTCTTTATGTCCTAAGTATCTGATGTCAAACAAAATTTTTATTATAATCCACCCAGAGAACAATAAAGCAAGTCATTTTGTTACACTTTGGTTATGCCAAATAGGTTAAAAAGATAGTTCTTTCTGTGTGTTTTTAGTTATAAAAATAATATGTGCTCAATGAAAAAATCCAAATAATGGAAAGATGTATAAAGCAGAAAATGACATCCGTCATTCCCTTTCACTCTCCTCCCCAACCTCATTCCCATCCTCCAGGGGGAACCACTGTTAATAGTTTGCTGTGTATTCTTCAAGATCTTTTTTTTGTGTGCACGTAAACACACATATATGGTTGTATTTGTCTGTTTTTAAAAAACATGGCATCAAGTACAATGTCCTGCCTACCTTATCAGTGACAAAAGGCTTTTGTGGCTCCACCCAGGAAAATGGCTGTCATTTATAGCAGTGTTTCTGGGTTTCAAGCAGTCCCTCCACAAAGGAAATTCCAGTTGGTGGCAGAAGGAGGAGGAGAGGGGAGAACAAAGGCAGGGGAATTATAAGTTTCCTTCTCTCCCGAATCCAGTGACACTGGCCCCTTCTTCCCTCCACCTTCTCCTCCTCCTCTGCAGGGGAACCCCCAGGTCCCCACTCAGCAATTCCCCAACACTACCTCTTTCCTGCTCTGCCTCTGCTTCAGCATCATTCTGCCCACTGCGCCTGATATCAACACCCTTCCATAGAAACACTGCCACATGCGGAAGAAATCAGAATTGCTTTCTGGGAGAAAACAGAATTCCTTATTTGGAATGTCTTTCACATGGATAATCTTTTTAGGAACACATTGCTGACAAATGTGAAGAGATATCAGTAATGACGTAGACTTTTCTCTCTTGACCTTACACGATCTGTGTGAAACAAGTTATTTGGTTGTGGAAAGGCACCATCTTTTAGAAACCATTTGAGTGCTGCTTGAAATAGTTGACAATGAGGAGAAATTTCACAAAAGGGTTAATTAAATATGTGAGAGAAGGGGTCTGGAGATGCATCGCTGTAGGTGGGAGATTGCCTGGCAAGGTAGATAGCAAGGAGCCAGAATAACATCCGGACTCTAAATTCCAAAATGTTTTCTCGAGTGCCCCTTGTCAGTTGCTGGTTCTGTGCCAGGTGCAGGGGCACAGCAGCAAACAAGCCAGTGCCATCGCTGCACTCATGGGGCTCACAGGCTGGTGGGAGAAAGAGCCCTCAACAAACAGTCTCAGTGGAGTGAAGAGAGGGCCGTAGAATGATGGAGTTCAGGGAACAAGGGGGGAAATTGCTCTTGAGGCCATAAGCCTTTGATACAATTTCCTCAAGAGGTGAAAAGTGTTAGTTCCCCATGGTGTCCCCCGACACTTCCTCTGCAAAGATGGAAAAGCAGCAGAACCATTCACACATGTGTCCGTGCCCCCTCTGGATACACACATGTGGTAATTACTTCCTAGGGAACACCTTTGGTTACCATCTCCATCATCTTCCCTTCTACCTCTCCACCCCAAATAAATATACCCCAATAGACCCTTCAGTGTACAAAGAGCAGTATGTGAGGGACAGTCTGTTAGAGTTCTCTGACCAAATGAGACCTTTCCTGAATGGCATAGTTGTACAGGGACAGGACCCTGGGCTGTTTTTGATTCCGCAAACATGGTAGCCCATTTGAGGATGCTCTGAAGCTTTGCCAACTCTGGGAGTAATCCCAGCCTCTCTGACCAGTGTCAGGCCAATCTGAGACAGTGGGGGCATCTGTCAATCCCCAGCTCACCCAGCTGATCTGAGGCACCCATTTTGCTGTGGTGGGGAGATGGGGGTTCTTGCCACTCTACCTCAACATGTTGTTCTTGATGAGATGGGGAGGAGGGGCTATCAGTGACGTGTTCTAGGCAGACGACTACACAGGTAACCAGAGGAGAAATTTTCATTGAAACCAATTAAATTCACCATCTCACATTGACCAAAGAAGAAATGAATGTCCCCTGGAATTTGGAGTAGGGAACAAAACTCAAAGACCTCAGAGGCCAGGCAGATAAATGTTTGAAGCAAATTGGGTAGATCCAAATGGGACTGCAGAGTGGATGCCCTTCTAAAGGGCTCATCGGCCACTCAACTTCAGCCCATCATTGCCACGTGGGGAAGTAGGTCTAATGTTACCAGGTTTTCTGATTTTTCTAGAAATCCAGTCTTTTCTACGAAATCTCCCAGATTTTAAGATAATTGGCCTCAACTCTGAATTTTTATAAACCACTCTATGGACCAAACATAACATATTTGGCCCAAGTTGCTGGTTTGCATTAGAATTATAGATATACATTTTTTTCAACAAAGAGCAAACTGTTCTGTGGAAACTATGGGAGTTTTAAAGCCCATCACATATTGAAAGTAATGTTACCTCCTTTGTCCATTTTAATCTGCTCCCACAGGTGAAAGAGACATAAGGATTGATGATATGCAAAAATTAAAAGTGGTGGAAAACTGTATTTATGAGAGCATGCGGTACCAGCCTGTCGTGGACATTGTCATGCGCAAAGCCTTGGAGGATGATGTCATTGACGGCTACCCAGTGAAAAAGGGGACTAACATTATCCTGAATATTGGAAGAATGCATAAACTCGAGTTTTTCCCCAAGCCCAATGAATTTACTCTTGAAAACTTTGAGAAGAATGTAAGAGCCCTTCCTTAAAACTGAGTATGCCACTCTTGGAAATGTCTAGTGTTAGATCCGCTCTGGTTCTGTGTTTGTACCATGTATATTTCATTCTATTTACTTGTTGCCCTCACCACCCCACCAGGAGAACACGTTTTCCCTAGTTTAGAACACGGCTACCACATTCGTCCTCAAGTGAAGGATGCTGGGTCTCCAGCTCTGGGAGGTGTCTACATGGCGGCCACACAATAGGTAGAAATGGGAAAAATCCAGGCCCTTAATTTGGCTAAAATGAGGCAAATTTTGTTTACCCCAACCAACCTACTTTTCCATTTAAACTTGTCGTTTTGTCATCATGTAGATTCAGCTGTAGCACCATCTAAGCAAAGGAAAGTCCACTTCTGCTTTAGATGAAATTCAAATGAGACCAAAAGATTTGGTTTTGGCAGTCTGCCTTTGGTTCACCAAATGGCCCTCTGAGCACTAGGTCCCATTCTAAATAGGACTTGATAATCAGAAGAGCCTCAGCTTTTGCTTTATCTATCATTGAAGTATACTGGAGATTCTGCTTTCATTAGGTCAAATTTTAGGCAATGATGTTTTTTAAAGTGAATTATCCAGCCAGTTCCCTCAGTGTCCTCTTTTTCCAGTTGCATATGATGTAGAAACACAATCTTAATTAATCCAGTTCTCTAATTCATTCTATTTCTAGATGAGCAACCTATGCCATGTTGACAATTGGTCAACAAAGTCTTATTGAGCATCTACTACGTGCCAGGCACTATGTAAGTCCAGATGTGGACAAGACAGACAGCTGTGGTCCCCATTAATTTTTTTGCATAACTAAAAATATTTAGATGCTCAGCACTAATAGGCCTGGAATCCACATCTTTGCCTAAATTTGTCCCTTGTTATCAGGTTATATGGCATTGCACAAAAACAGTCTTTACTTTGGTGACTGCAGAACAGTCATGAAGCTGTGGCCATCCCACAGAACTGGTTGAGTATGCTAACAGTGGCTATAATAAGATGTTCTGCATTGCTTTATCCCAGTACATTTATGTGAAAAGCAAAACTGGAGACTGTCTGAGGTTGGGTGTGTGTCACAAAGGGGTGAATCAAACTGGATGGAGAAAAAGGCTGATTTGAGTTACAGTCATTCATCTCAGTGAAGGAGTGGTGCGGCTGAGACTCCAGAACAGAGCGTTTTGACGGACCAGTGTTTTCAGGGTGAATCAAACAGAGATTGCATGACTCTAGCTTTTAATATTCTGGCTAATTGTCTGATCATTTTCATAGGTTCCTTACAGGTATTTTCAGCCATTTGGTTTTGGGCCCCGTGCCTGTGCAGGAAAGTACATCGCCATGGTGATGATGAAGGTGATCCTGGTTACACTTCTGAGACGATTCCGTGTGCAGACGTTACAAGGAGGGAGTATTGAAAATATGCAGAAGAAAAACCACTTGTCCTTGCACCCAGATGAGACTAGCAGCTTGCTGGAAATGATTTTCATCCCAAGAAATTCAGACAAGAGCCTCAAACACTAAATAAGTTTGGTCAGTACCTACTCTGGAGCATTTCTCATCAGTAGTTCACATGCAAACTATCCATCTTTGCCAGGTAGTGTCATTCTCACAGTGAACATTCAGTGGCCTGTGGCATTTTATAGGCATACCTCCTTATGGGCTGTCAGCAAGCCAGGAGACATCAGTCATCTGATCTTGTCCAAACCAGAGAACCAGACTGCAAAAGAAAATGCAGAGGCCAAGAGTTTGTGGGGGAAATGGTCAGTGAAGAAAATGCAGCCGTAAAGGCCCAATTCCACAAAATATGCTTTGGAAAAGATAGGCCATCGGCAAAACTTATGTCCTGCTTGCCACATGATCTTCACTGCACTGCCCCAAGAGTATTTTAATGTCTGGGGCAGAAGCACTCAAGTTTATTAGAAAGGCCAGGCTGATGTCTGGGTACCTAGAGCCAAACACACCTGCTAGTGCAAATAAAGGTGCTTTCATTTGGTTTTCAGTGGGCTTGGCCACTGCAACTTTCGTAGTCTTTGGAGAAATGCTTACAAATTCAGCATTTGACTTTTCCTATGAATTATAATCATTTATCTCTTGTTTATCATGTGATTTGTCTGTGGCATAAGTTAAATTGGAGATTATCCTTTCCCCGTCTCTCAGTTGATGCCTCAGCCACTTACCACTGATTTAGGTATGATTCAGGTAATCAAAGTAACTTAGTAATAGCATGAGTAAATATAATTAATATCATGTCTGCTGTAGGAAAAAAAAATTCACATATGCATTTAAAATTCAAATGAAAATTCTTATGGGTTGGGGGGAGGGCAAAAGGGGTAAAGGGGCAAATATGCATGGTGACAGATGGAAACTAGACTTTTAGTGGTGAACACGATGTAGTCTATGTAAAGCCAAACTATAATGATGTACAACTGAAATTTACACAGTGTTATATATCAATATTACCTCAATAAAATAATTTTTTAAAAAACTTTTCTTTGTTTGCATTGTTGCTTAGCTCCATTAGTGTGGATAACCGAGAGATAATTTTAAATAACAGCATCTATTAACTCTTACAACAGCTCCAATGAGCTGTTGGGGGAGAGGAAGTACTCTAAATCTATATCTAATTCTACAACTCAGTGGGTTCAAACTTCTAAGGAATGCTCCTCCTATTCCATTATCCTTCTCCCTCGACATTTTCCCCCTCTTTCTTTCCATGTCCCCAAAAGCCAAGGGCAACAGATCAATAGAGAACATGATCAAGAAGGAACCCCTGCAATTATTTTTTTTAAATTTTTTGTTTATTGCAGTAACATTGGTTTATAATATTGTATAAATTTCAGGTGTACATCATTATACTTCTATTTCTGCACAGATTACATCCTGTTCACCACCCAAATACTAATTACAACCCATCACCACACACATGTGCCGAACCATCCCCCTCGCCCTCCTCCCTCCCCCGTTCCCCTCTGGTAACCACCAATCCAATCTCTGTCTCGATGTGTTTGTTTATTGTTGTTATTATCTACTACTTAATGAAGGAAATCATACGGTATTTGACCTTCTCCCTCTGACTTATTTCGCTTTGCATAATACCCTCAATGTCCATCCATGTTGTCACAAATGGCTGGATTTCATATTTCTTATGGCTGAGTAGTATTCCATTGTGTATATATACCACATCATCTTTATCCATTCGTCCCTTGATGGGCACTTAGGTTGCTTCGAAGTCTTGGCTATTGTGAATAACGCTGCAATGAACACAGGGGTACATGTATCTTTATGCATTGGTGTTTTCAAGTTCTTTGAATAAATACCCAGCAGTGGAATAGCTGGATCATATGGTAGTTCTATCCTTGATTTTTTGAGGAATCTCCATACTGTTTTCCATAGTGGCTGCACCAGTTT